TCACTTCGAATTCAATCTCGAATTGAATACTCAATTTTCAAAACTCTGATTTTACATAGTTTTTTATTCATTTTTAGATATGTTTTTCTTTATAGTTATATGAAAAATGCTTCCATTTCACTACAAGAAAACTCGTCCATTACTAGGACAGATTTTCCTCGTTATTTCATAGTAAATGGCCATTTACTAGGAAATAACGAGGAAACGTGTTTCGTCGAAACACGTTCATCGTAAAGCCTTTTTCCTCGTAAGGTCCTAGCAAATTTACGAGGAAACTTTTCCTCGTAAAGGCATGGCTAGCTTTTCCTCGTAAGGTTTCCTCGTAAGCTCGTAGTAAACTTTTCCTCGTAAGCTCGTAGTAATACATTACGAGGAACTTACTAGAATTAATTACGAGGACATTACTTGGAAACTTTAAGAGGATTTTGCTTCGAAATATTTTATTCCCTATTAAAAAATATTAATTATAAATATAAATAATTTTTTAAAAATAAAAAAAAATCAAATTATAAATTAAAAAAAAAATAAAAACAAAATATTTTATAAACAACTAAATAATATACAGTGACGTTTTAAAATTCATAATATACAATTAAAAATAAAAAAACTACGGATGATGGTCGTAAAATTGCCGAACGAACTCGTCCTGGCTCGCCAAATCATGCTCCTCTCCTAAGTTAGTTGCCGGCTGTGACTGTGATGGTAGATGTTGTTGGGTTGGAATCCCTCCGCGTTCCCGTCTCTGACGCAACAGCTCCTCCATTTGCGGGTTTCCAACCGCCAAAATGTCGAGAACATCTGTGAGAGAAGTCATATGCTCGGTGAGCGAACTCACATGAGACTGCGTCGCCTGCAACTCCGAGCGCAGCTGAGCATTGACATCGTGCAGCTCCTGATGATAAGACGATGTCGCTGCAGGGACATCGTTAACCAAGCCAATCCCGACGATACGCCCCTTTTTCCTAGGGGAGACCTGTAAATAAAAATATTAATAACATTAAGAAAAAATTTAAATAAATATTAAAAATTAATAGTAAAACAAATTATTTACCTCGTCGTAAAACTTATCCACTTCAAGAGTGGATAATACGACTGGAGTCCCAGTCTGATGAGTCAGCTGGGTCTGGCATTCGTCAACTCGGGCAACAACCTCGTTGTAGATCCTCTCGGAAGCCAGATCTACAAACTGCCCGCCTTGTTTCGGTGGGTCCTCTTGTAAAGGTCATTCAGAGATGGAAGAACTCCTGTCTCTTTAACCTAAAAGTAATTTTTAAAATTAAATATTAATTTGGAATATTCAAATAAAAGAAAAATTAAATAGTTTTGAAAAATCATCTTACCATGTCTAGAAGAACTCCCCCGTGAGGTTTTCGACCCGTGGTGTGAAGCATCTTCGTGTTGCCATGCTCGTCTCTGGTCATGCGGTTCTCTGAGTTTGTGTGGGAGGTTCTGACCGAGTCCGGCAACCCCCAATAGCTGATGAGGCCATCCCACACCGTGGTTGTGAGGCAATCGGGTTTCCCGTCCTCGTAACCATCCACCTGATTTAAAAAAATTAGTATTAAAGTCAATAATATTTTTAAAACTATATATATATATATATATTATAATTTATAAATCTATACTTGATAGTCGCCCTTCCAGTTGTAGACCATGTCGAGCAATCGTGCTCTTGCCTTGCCCTCAAACTCCTTCTTCACCCGCTAGTGAATCCCAATAGACCAACGATATTTTTGTTGTAACCAGAAAAAATAAGAGACGGATTAGTTCAATAATATTAATAATTTTAAATAATTAAAAATAAATTAAGTTATCAAATTTACAGCGAACGATTTGAACCACGTCTTTTTGTGTGGCTCTCCGTCATCTTCCAGTTTGGAGCTGCATCGGGAAAGTATCCTTTGATTCAGTCCGTGACGGTAGTTGCGACACAATTGTCAAGACCAAACCTGGAAAGACAAAAAATAAATCATTAATTAGACTAATTTGTAAATATTTTGGTAATTAAGAAATAAATTTAAAAAAAGTTTAAAAATTAAAACATGCATAATACGTTTTGGTCGTCCCGTCGGATAGGATCTAACTCTGGCAGCCCTTCTCTGCCTGGAAGGGCCAAAATATCCTCCACCGTGTACACCGCAAAGGGTGCGTTCGGCGGCACCTGCAAATCGGGATGAACCCCGACCGGTGGAGGAGGAGGAGGAGGTGGTTGCCGGTACACCATAGAAGCTCCCCGAGTCTCGGGAATCGAAGATGAACCGGGAGCTGACGAAGATGAACCCGGAGCATCCTGACGCCAAAAAATATTTCCGTAGTGACTCCCCTCGAGAGACGACGTCCTCTTACCAGAAGCCCTAGCAAGCTTGCTCTGTCTAGGCATCTATATTTTAAAAAAAAAAATCAAAACATTAATTCCCGTATAATTTAACAAAAACAGTAAAAAAAAAAGTAAACCAACCTAATCTAAATTACCTAAACTAACCACCTAATCTAAATTACATAAACTAACCACCTAATCTAAATTCCCTAAACCAACCACCTAATCTAATCACCTAACTACGAATTAGAGAGAACCTTTAGAGGATTCAGAGAGAAGCTTACTAGAAAATGAGAAACTGGATTGCTCGAGTATATATAAGGAATTTTGTTTCCTCGTAAGGTCCTAGTAATAACGTTACTAGGGCTTTACGAGGAAAACTCTTTACGAGAAAATAGCTATGCCCGCGTTTTTTCCTCGTAAAGCCCTAGTAATACGTTACTAAAACATTACAAGAAAACGCATATGCCCGCGTTTTCTATTACTAGGGCTTTACGAGGAAAGGGTTTATAAATCCCTAAACACGAAACCCCAAACCCCAAACCACAACTTCCTTAACTTATAACCTCTTCTACAACCAATCTCCTAACCTCTTCTACACATAAACCCAAACCCTATTACGCCCTCGACCTTGCGGTTTGAATCGTGGCTTCTTACAAAATCGACATTCTTGTAACTTCTCATCATCTCCCCAGTAAATCATGCAGTTGTCGATGCAAACGTCTATCATCTCCGAGGGCAACCCAAGACTATATACCAATTTCTGAATCTGATAATAAGATTCAGCAGACACATTGTCTTCTGGCAAATACTATTTAAACAAGTCTGCCCATGCCTCCATAAAATTTTCAGGTAGATTGTGATCGGTTTTAATACTCATCATTCTAGCAGCCAACGACAATTTAGATAGACCTTCTCTACAACCACTGTAAATTGGCTCATTCGCAGCATCTAACATTTCATAAAACTTTTTTGCATCTAAGTTAGGTTCTTTAACTTCATCATCATCATGAGTTACAAAGGCATCACCTACCATATCATGAACCCTATCACAATCTACCATTTGTTCCTCTTGATGATGATAGCTATTTTCATTACGCAAATGATCAACCGATTCAACCTGAAAATTGCTATTACTACTGCTACCTTCATTCCTTCAACTAGCATCATCTTCTCCATGTTGATACCAAATATAATAATATGGCATGAAGCCTCGATTTATTAAATGTTTCCAAACATTTTCACGATAACCTAATTTTGTATTGCATCATTTCCGACAAGGACAGAACATCTTACCACTTTCCTGCGTGAGTGGTGTAGAATCTGCTTGATGCATAAACGTCTCCAACCCTTCGAGATATTCATTCGTCACCCTCCCGTTATTATCTCTGTGTGAATACATCATCCACTTCCACAACTCGAAAATATTTCCCGGACCGGACATTTTTATGTGTTTGATCAAGCTTATAGCTGATTATTTTTTGGTGTGTTTCAAATGAATCACAATTGTGGTATTTATAGAAATTTTCGAATCTGAACATTTACTAGGAAATTGCTAGGAAATGTAGGTACAAAACACAATTTTGATTTAAATTCCATATTTCCTATCCAGTTCCTAATAATTTCGTAGTAACAAATCTGTTCCTCTTAATTTCGTAGTAACATTTTACTAGGACTGTACGAGGAAACTAATTTACTACGGGCTTACGAGGAAATGTACTATTTCCATGTAATTTCCTCGTAACGTTACTACGGTGTTACGAGGAAATATTTTTCTCGTACCTGTACGAGGACCTTACGAGGAAATATGGTTTCCTCGTAATTTCGAAGTAAGTTCGTAGTAACTTTACGAGGAGTTATTTTCCTAGTAAAATTTCGTAGTAACTTCTTAGTTTTCTTGTAGTGTTTAAACTATAATAAATATGGTTTACTTTTTGGTAGCTTTAGGCATTTTATTAAAATTAGAAAATTCGAACAAGAACGGACCAAAACAGTGGATCAACTTCAAAGGCAAGAACATGAAGCCAATTGGAGCTAGACCACTAAATATGGCACAACTTAATGGGTCTTTTCAAGATTTATTGCTTTGGTTTATGAAGTATTGGACTGGAAAAAATGATATGGACCTTAATGCAACCTTTATCAAGCATGAATCGACTAGATGGACTAGCTGCTAAATGTGCAACTTGCTTGATCAAGAAATGGCTTGAACGAACTTGGTTAGACAAAAAATGAATCGGGCGATCCGGTATGATCGAGAGTACTAGTGAAAGGTATTGGCGGATCACTTGTAACTCCATTCTAGTGAATTCCAAGACTTGAATCTCGGCCACACGTAGCCTTCCTAGTTAAGATGGGTGAACTGGATAAGTTGGTGTTTGTGCTCCGTGCTCGTTTCTTCTCTTGCAAGTGTTCAATCTCTTATATTACAGAGTAACATAAACGCGTGACAAACCACACGCCCCAAAGAAGGCGAAAACCTAACTAGAGTCCCGACCTTAAATCTCGGCGTCCTCCGGCGTGAGTCATCGCCAATAGACCGCTCTGGTAACCTTACTCCTCTTCTACGGCCCTTGTCATGGTTTCAGAGATCGATTCTCCTCAGACCCCGTCGCTTAGGAGATCGAGAAGCGATCCCTCTCTATTTATTTCTTCTTCTTCCCCGGCTCTGTTTACCGCATGAATGAAGATTGGAACTGATCCGGCTATGTCCTCGTCGTATTCGTCGCCACCGATGACCTCCTTTACTCCGGTGATGCTGACGAACGAAACCTCTCTGCTCAAACCCATCGTTCCTCCTCCGTCTTCAGAACCTGTTGTTCCAACACTGACTTCAGAAGATGTTGTAGTACAATCTGATATGATGCAGAAGTCACCTTCTCTTGTGGTCAACAACCCATTGCTGCATGTTCCTGGACCAAATCAGTTGCTGGAAATATCAAGCCTTGTGGTTAATAAATCGCCAAAAATCCCAGACAATCTTGCTCAAGCTCCAGAAAAATTTGTCCCATCTTTGGGATCATGGGTAAAACCTCTTCACTTTAAACCTCCGGCTACCCCTCCGGAACCTAGTACTCCTCGAGATTATGATCCTGCAATTGTCGGGAATCAATTAGCTGCTCTCTGGCCGACTTTAAATGATGAAATCTTTAACAAGCAACCAAAGGATAAGCATCCATCTCGTACTATCCAGCCTCCGATTGAAAAGCTTCCACCACCAGAACTAAAAGCTGATGGGAGCCTCTGTTTCCCGTGGGCTGCAAGATTAAGCCCTCAATCGCGGAATCTTTACCGGGCAGCCACACCTACTTATCGTCTTGATGGAACACCTGAGGTATCTATTCCTTCAGAAGTACTTAAGCTAGGTCCAAAGAATAAAGACGAGTATATCATTGGAAAGTTCCATAAGTGTACTCTACCCCCAGGTGGTTTGATACATGCTGTTGTCAATAGAATTTGGGGAAGAAGTTGTAAAATCAGTTGTAAGAAGCTTGATGATTCATCTTTCATGTTCCATATTCCGCACCAAGCTACTCGTCATTGGGTTATTCAGCGAGGAGTATGGCACATTGACGATTGCTTACTTTTTGTACTGCCATGGACTCCAGAAGGCTCCTTCAAAATCCCGGAAATCTCTACGTTTCCAGTCTGGGCTAATTTAAAGAACGTTCTGGATTGTTGCTACTCAAGATTAGGAATAAGTCATGTTGCTTCAGGACTTGGAGAACTATTCTTACGCATAAACCTAGATTGGATCCTACCAGCATGGGGGAAACAAAGGTTTTAGTTGAGATGGAGCTGGATAGAAACTTTCCGAAGCTTATTGCACTGGACGACAAACAAGGTAACATTTTCCTTGTTAATGTTGAGTACACATGGATTCCATCTATTTGTGAGAGGTGTGGTAATCTAGGATACAAAGCAAAGAGATGTCTTTTGCCTTCTTCGACTGTTCAGGTTTCTGCCTCCGCATCACCTTCGTTGGACACTAACTCTGATATCCCTGTAGTGGATATTGATACTATTTTGCAGCAAAAGGATAATGTTGGCTCCTCTGCACCTAAGGGTCTACATAACAATGAAAAAATATTCCTTCCATTTTTAGATGGTGGAGTCCTTGAGCCTCAGAAACATACTAAAGAGATAGAAGGTCTTCTATCTGAACTTGAAATCACTCCGGCTTTGCAACCTACCTTTCAGCAGGAGAACCCCACTGCCTCGCCAAATTTTGACCTCACTTTATCCACATTAGTAGATTCACGATCTACTCCCATTACAGCACCTATTATGGATTCCTCTCCATCAACTGTTATCAACACTGAAGTTTGTGAAACTTTAGTCGTTGATCCCTTAACCACATCACGTACTTCTTTTGCGTTTGAGAGTCCTTCTCAATTCAAAGAGTTAGAAGATGTGGATGAAGTTGTGACAGTCTTCTAGCTCGCTCAGCTTGACAAGAGGTGGGAGGGAGACAAAACCCCCTATCAAATACCAAGACATGGAATGGAAGACGGCGCGAGCGAAAGGAAAGCGTGGCCGCCAAGGTCGTGTTTCTTATCACTAGCTATTATCTTTCATTGTATTGTTGGTTACTCTACTCTCAACTTTTGTTGTTTCATTGGTTGAGATTCAATTATTCATGAAACTTGTTTCATGAAATCTTTATCCAACTATAAGACTCTTTATCTTGTAATAGTTTAAGTTTTAATTTGAAACCCTTATTCAAAAAAAAGTGTTCAATCTCTTCTTCATTTTTTTTTGTTGAACAACACTCTTCTTCTTTATTGTCCTTCCTCTGTTTTACTATGTTTCATTCACGCAAGATCCCTGTTCATAAACTCAGTGCCTTGTCTCGTATTTGTTGTGTCTCTCTTACCAAGTGTTGTATATTTCGTGAACACTACAAGCATTGTGAATGAAAAACCTGTTACACAAATTTCCTCGGTGAGCCTGTTTGAATCTTTTTTTTCCCTTCGACCCAAGAGTATTTGTGATAATAACGCACTGTTTTTTGTCTTTTTTGAAACTTGATAATAACGGACTGCTACACAAAACAATAGGGAATAACATTTTTTTTTCAATAGGGAATAACATGAAACTACAAACGATATTATTTAGCAAAGAGCGAAACTTACAACTCGAACATAGAGACATTACATTATGTAACTTTATTCTCATAATTTATTTTCTTAACCTGAGTAACTTCATTACAAACTCACCATGGCATGGTATATTATAATCATACACACATAGGCGTATACATAGATGTAATCATGCATGGTATGGTTAATATATTATTTAGTGACCAGTCTGAGTCTCAACAACTTCTGCTCCGTGGCCTCCTCTTCCTCCGTGTCCCCCGTGGCCTCCTCTTCCTCCTTTGTATCCTCCACCTTTGTTGTATCCTCCTCCGCCGTTGTATCCTCCACCACCGTTGTGTCCTCCACCTCCGTTGTATCCTCCACCTCCGTTGTGTCCTCCACCGCCGTTGTATCCTCCACCGCCGTTGTGTCCTCCACCTCCGTTGTATCCTCCACCGCCGTTGTGTCCTCCACCTCCGTTGTATCCTCCACCGCCGTTGTGTCCTCCACCTCCGTTGTATCCTCCTCCCCTGTTGTATCCCCCACGGCCATCAGGTTGCACAGTTTCCTTACTCTCTGAGTTCACTGTGCCTGTTCAAAATAAAACACCTCATTTTATTCCAAAAAATTGGTTAGCACGTTCAAATGTGCATTCCTCTCGCCCTATCTTAAAAGCAAAATTCTCTTACAAAACTATTTAAAATACACATAAATTTGGATCTCAAGTTTAAAGAAAAAATGAGTTTCATCATTATATATACGTTCTATATAAAATTTGAACTAATATCTAAATAGTTTGAGTTGGTCCAATACGCCTAAAAAGGTTTTTGTTAGAAAAACATCATACTGCTCGTCTTTTCTTACTTGAGAAGTAGACAACAATATCATTACTTCAGTCAAGTCTTTTGAATTAGTAAGTCCAAATAAGTGACCATCGTTCAAACCAACTTTCTGGACAGTATACGGACGAAATGGTTGGGCGAAATTATCAAATGGTACGTTAGCACAGGGTCGATTAGCCTCACGAACATTTTTTATTTTGTATAAGTAAATTTTACGTACCCGACTGTCGTACAGATGCTGCGGTCATTTCTGAGACGACGAGAAGAAATGCAAAGACACCCAAAAGAATCAAAGTCTTGGAAGCCATTTTTAACTGCTGCTTATAGGTAATAACACTTATCTTTGTGGAAAAACAGGTGATGTATAAATGCTAGCATGCATGCTCTCTATTTAAAGAAAACGAGGAGCGAATGAGAAAAGTCAAATAAGTAATTCGTAGTGCAATAAAAAGAAGAAAGTTTATTATAAAAAAAGCAGAAGGATAGAATTTATCACAGCAAAACTAAAAGTATCTTTTATAAATAAAAAAACTAAAAGTATTAGCATTATTTGCAGATAATGACAAAATTTGTTACTGACGGTCTAACATCTATACTATTATTTGCGAAGTGAGCTCTCACGTTAAAAGTTAGAGTGGTTAATATCATTTATACTTTTAATGAATAAAATATATAAATTAGACATAAAATAAAAACGAAATTGATATTTATTTGATTAGATAAATGATTTAAACTAATAATAATGATAAGAATTATCCATAATCTAAATATATATTTAAAAAGAAAAAAGATAATTCCTATATATATTGTATTGTTATCCGGAAAATATATTTTAATAAAAAATCAAAAACAGAAAACACATAAATAAATACTCATAAAGAAACTTTTTAATTGTACATAATTGAAAAGAGAAAATTGAAAAATTTATAATACGTACTTATTTTATAATTAAAAGAATATAATAATATAACATAATGATATATATTTGTGAAGTAATTTTTTGTCTCTGAACTCACACGTTAAATTAAATTTATTTTATATTTTATTAATTATAACATTAAACATGAATTAATTATAATAAAATAAAAGATCATTCAAAAAGAAAAAAAAATATGTTGTTGACAAAATAAATTCAAATATATTATATTATTATCCAAACTAATATTATTATTTCTGTAAGATCAATTTTTGAATGTATATTTATTGATTCAATTTATCAAATTGAAAGATAAGTTTCTATATTTTTTTTATCAATTGAGAAGAAATGAAACAGATTTTAGATTTTGTTTTCAAAGTTTTAAAGGGAAAATAGATTTTTTTAATTTATGAATAATTTTATCATGTAAAAACGTTTAATGTTTTAGGTCTAATTTTTTGGATGAAAACAATCATTTATTTTGATGATTTTTTTATATTGTCTTAAAAATAATTAAGCCCGCATGTCCGGGCACAACACCTAGTTGAAATAATGAGAATAAATATTCTCAGAACAAATTAATGTGATTTTACAGAAAATTTTTAAATGATTTTATCATTTCTTTAACGCTTATGAATAAGTCACATATATATATTTATTTTATGTAGAGATATAATTTTATTGAATTTTTAATACAGTTTACTCATTACAACTATTCCAATCATTTTTTGCTATTTTTATATTGGAATAGATGCTTTATTTTATAATTTAGAATATGTTCATCTTCCTATGTATATAATTATGTATCATATTAAATATCATTCTATCTCTGTTTGGAAAATACGAAGTGAATATCTTTTGGAAGCCAATTATAAAAAGTAACATGCTATATTTTACCCATATATTTACCAATAATATTTTTTTTCCTAAAACAGCTATTTTTTTACCAAAAAACACTATTTCTTACAGTTCCCTTAATCCAGTCTAAATTAAAGTGATAGTGAGTTCATTGTCATTTGTCAAAGTATGTTATAAATTGCCTCGGTCCCCATTTGGTGGGTTGTTGGATTCATATGTGACTATATTCAGAACTCCATAAATGGCAACCCCATCAGTGTTTTAGATTTGTTTTCTTATCTGTCTTAAACACAGCGCGATCACACACGTATAGATAGATATAATTTCAATATTGGTTTTTAATTGGTGTTATTATTAAGAGTTCTTATCATTATTATTTTGGGCACAAAAGTCAGCCGACCTGGTTTGTACTTTTACAGATCCTCTTTGAAAATCTTATACCGACAGATTTTAAAAAGGAAAAGCCTTATAAAGACAAATATATACGCAGTAAATCTGTAAATGTAATGCATAAAGTAGTAGTGAGCAGTAAACGTAAAGTGGTGGGCATTAAATATGAGTCTTCATTGACTGTAGTTTCACCTACCAATAAAAATCTCTTATTTCATATTCATTTTTTTGAGAAAAAAGAAACAAAATATTTATCAAATCATATTATGTTTTTTAAAATAATAATAATAGTAACTATAAAAAGAAAAGTTTTTTAATATTATTAACATCAGCAAAATAGTAAATCTGAAATACTAAACAATAAACCCTAAATATCAAATCATAAATTCTTGAATAAATCTTAAATTTTTGTGTAAACTTTAAATCTTGATAAACTCTAAACTTTTGAATAAATCTTAAACTTTAAAATTTAGATCTAGAATTTAGAGGTTTGTTGACAGCGTTAGGATTTAGTATTTACGACTTAGTGTTTAGTGTTTAAGATTTATCCATGGATTTATGGTCTACCTAAAGATTTATGATTTAGTGTTTTTGTTGACGGCGTTAACGATATAAAAAATCATCTTTTTCGAGCTAGTACTATTCCTTTTTATTTTGTGCACAAATACTACTTTTATTTATTTTTATTCATTTTTGTTTTAAAAACATAATATAATTCAAAAATAGATCCTAAATCTGAGGGTTTAAAATTTACCCAAAAATTTACGATTTATCCAAAGGTTTAAAATTTACTCAAGTTTTTAGGATATAATATTTAGGGCATAGTTTCTAATATTTAAGGTTTAGTGTTTTGCTAGCAGCGTTAATAATATAAAAAAACAAATCTCAAATTTTATATCTACTATTATTTTTTATAAATTTTTATTTTTTTATTTTAAAAGCAAGATATGATTTTGAAATTATATATATATATATATATTTTTTAAAAAAAAAATTTGAATAAGAAATGACGAACCTTTATTGGTTGGTGGACTTATAAGGGGTGAACCAAAAAAACTCTTAAACAATCTATTAGCAATTTCATTGGTTAAAAACAAATGGAAACACTCTTAAAATTAAAAGAATTAGTTTAAATAAATAAAAGAGAATCTTCATAAATCCACACAAAAAAAACGAAGTATTATATTACTCCATTTGTTTTAAATTAGTTGTCTCTTTAGGTCCTTAGGATTCTGCACACAATTTTTTTTTTAAAAAAACTAATTAAATGTATGAATTTTTATTTATCTAACTATTTATATTGCATAACCTTTATTGTTTCTCTTAATTTGATTAGGGCCAAAAGATATAAATTAAAAGAAAATTTTCATTGAATCATAAAACGATATTTATTTTATAACAAAAAAATAATGATTGAAAAATTAATTTAAAAAGAGTACTATTTAAAAATATCTTCAAAACAATCACTTATACATTATTTGTAAAATAATTTAACACATGTCTTCTTTATATACGACCACTTCCACTAAAAAACATAACATCTATATTATTAAAATTGAAGTATTTTTGGTACTATTTGGAAATAGAGATAACAAGATAAATGAGAATTTTTTGGAAACATAGATAGCAGATTAAATACTTCTTTTATTTGCACATTTAGCCATTACATTTACGGTAAATTAAATACATTCTTTTTATATTTTTTATTAACAGATTCTGCCTTTTCACTTAGATTAATTTAAATTAATTAATTACAAGGGTTTTTCTTTCTTTGTGGTGAAAATAAAAACATAGACTGAATATATAGTACATATTATATAAAATAATTTCTAAATAGAGTATTATCTTATTTAATTTAGTAAAATATAAAATTTAGAGAGTTTAATTTTCAAGAAAATAAAATATCATAAAATTAATGATAATTCATAGAAAACTAATGCAAAAAAATTAATTTTTAGTTTATTGTTTCATTTTAAAATAAATTAACAAAAACATATATAAATAGTATAATTACATCAATCTGCATCAAGTTATAAAATTTATACAAATAATAAAATTATTATTGAACATTTATATTATAAATAATATATTATATTCTAAATATAAATTAAAAAATAAAAAAATGTTTTTTATAAGTCAGCGATTTATGAGTTTACATTGAACACAAGTTAAATGAAACATCCGCACGGGGATGCGGGTCAAGTTCTAGTGATATACTAAAATTGATAACATGCCTTATAGTTAATTTGACATAGATAATTATATTTAAGAGTGATTTAGTGTATTGCCCCAAATAGAGGCCCAAATTGGAGAAGTATCCATTGATTGACATATATGGCCCGATTCCTACCCTCGCCAAGCGGAAAAGACGAAACTAACCTCCTACCAACGATTTGATTTTCGGCGCTTGTGTCAGTCGACTGACACAAGATATCCACGCCGATTCTAATAGGTTCTTGCTCTACTCTGTAACCTAGGACGACTTGTGTGCAATTTTAAAAGCACACGTTTCCTCGGTTATCCGGGATCTCAGTTTAAGCGCAACATCCTAAGCTACCTCGAAAAAGTTAAGTGTACGTATTACCATACTAATTTGAAGATAAAAGAAGGTAGAGTTGGGTAAACGTTTAGTTATCAGAACAAACAAAATAGTGGGGGAGAAAGAGGGAGAACGAAAGCTGTGATTTGGTGTTTGAAGAAGATAAACTCAAGAGACAGAAATCGTTTTCTCTCGGAGGGTAAGCTCTTAGCTTTCTGTACATATCCTACGTAGAAAAGGTAGTTCGATGTCCTTAAAAGATATGAGTTCCTGATAAATGTAATGTTACACCGTAACAGGTTTGGATGATGAGGCACTAAGTTCGCGTCGTTGTTGGAGACTGGGAACGAGGCGCTCAAGGCGCCTGGAGGTTCAACGTGGATAAAACCATGGTAAGAACTGACGTCGAGCTTAAGGAGAACGAGAGCTTCATCTCACTTGTGGGTATGGTGAGGGAGAAGTTCAACGTAGACCCACTGTATGGAGTCAACGCCCCCGTGCTGCTGACTTACCACTACCCCGACATTGAAACAGAGCCTGAGGAGTACTCAGCACCACCCATCGAAATAAATGAGGATGAAGACGTGGCTGTGTTCATGGCTGTTAGGGTTGACAATGTGTGGCAGGAGCTGTATGTGACATTGGGTGGAGAGGATGTT